TAAGTAGAGACGCGGCGTAGAGGGAAGGAGGATACGTACACCAGACGGAGGGGTGGAGTTCGGCGATGAGGTGCATGGCGGCGGGGTGGGTGGCTCTGTCGATATCCTCACTCAAGCGGCGCATGGCTAGATAGGAGAAACGCGAGTGAGCACTGCAGAGGGATGGGAAGAGAATAGCGAGGACGTACAGATGGACTCGAAGGGATGGTCGAGCTCGCGCATGCGCCGATGGTCCAATCGATGAGGAGACATGACTGGCCCCCAGAACTGGAGATAGTGGACGCCGGGGGGAATGACAGTGCCCTTGACGCCGCAGGAGTGAGACGCAGGGGAGGAAGGGACGAGACACTCACGGGACGGAGATGAATACTGATGGGGTAGAAGCCGTTGCTTGGTAGGAAGCAGTGGGCGATGTCGCCGGTGCGCTGTTGGGCAAAGAGCATGAGAAGGACGAGATTGCGGAGGAGGCAATGGCGACATACGCGCAAGAATCCGACAGTAGCCATGACGATCCGTCCATCGAGCCTTTCGATGTTGGCGGAGTTGAGGTACCCGTCGATGGCAGGGATGGTCGGGTAGGGCAGAGGCTCAGGCATGGAGGCAGCAGGGATGTGCGAATGGGAAGGAAATGGGGGGAGACAAGGAAAGGAAACTCATGCGGTACAATAGTCATTCATTGTAATCATAATGTCATTATGCGTCGTGAAGAATACAAGATGCAGAGTGCCCTACATAACTACATTGTCATAATACTAATCCCCGGAGTGACGACGCAGGCGGCTAGCCGTCGAGCTGGACCCCCTCGCTCTTCTCGAGCACATCCATGGCGAGTGGGTCGACCTCCCCATCACCGTCCCCATCGTCGTCGTTGTCGTCGTCCCCATCGCCATCCTCGTCGCCGTCCTCACCGTCCTCACCGACCTCGCCGTCGTCGACGATCTCGCCGTCCTCGCGGTCGTCAGCATTCTCAGCGTTGTCATTGTGAGCAGACTCGTCCTCACCGTACCCACCCAGGTGTTGGGTGAGCTGACCCTGACTCATCGCCGCAGGCTGGGTGGAGGGGAGAGAAGAGTCGGGCGGCAGAGTCTGGGAGCTGCCGGGGACGAAGGTGAGGAGGGAGCCAGGGCGGACGAGCCCGTCGTTATCGTCGTCGTCGTCGTCGGAGATGTTGATCGAGGTGTTCTCGCGGAAGCGTTTGGCAGCGCGAGGGGAGAGCTTGGTGGCGGGATTGGAGCCGACGGAGCTGCTGGTATTGCCTCGGGGTCGCTTGCCGGACTGCTCAGTGACGGGAGAGGGGGAAGGAGGGAGCTGGGGCGGAGAGCGGCGGGGAGGAGGAGGGTTGGTGACAAAGTCGGGGGTAACCGGCCTGTCGGAGTCCTCCTCCTCCTCGGGAATGACCTCCTTCTCCTTCTCCTTGCCCTTGCCCTTGGCCGAGACTGTTGAGGCCATTCGTCCGGCGGGACGCGCCGCGGGTCTCTTGCCTTGGGCACCCGCGGAGTCTGCGGCGGCTGTCGCCCGCGTCGCCCTGCGCTGGCGAGTAGTCGACGAGGAGGCGGCGGGGGCGGACGTGGAGGGGGAGGCATCCTGCGAGGACGCGTCGGCGATGACGAGGTCGGCGGGGAAGGGATGGAGGTCGGGCGGGAAGCGCAGGCGGATGGTGCTCTGCGTGTCGTGGTCCCACTGGATGGGCCACTCGGGGCGCGTACCCGGAGTCGTGAGCTTTGAGAGGTAGGACGCACTATAGAGAACATGCTAGGGAAATGAGAAATATATGTCAGTAGGCGAATAGGACAGAAGACGAATGATATACGTACGTCGAGGAACGCCTTCGTCATCTCCGCGATCTGGGTGGGCATGGGCTGGCGGGCGCCGACGGGCTCGTTGCCGGCGATGATGATGTTGGCGAGGAGGGGGTTGCCGACGATGGACTTGTAGAGCGCGTTGAAGTTCTTTTCGATGAACTGGGTGGACGCGAGGCGCGTGTCCATGTCGGCGGCGGTCTTGGAAGGCGCGGGGTCGAAGTCATCGGGAACGTCGACGTCACGATAGCCGTCGATGAAATCCCAGTCGGGGGAGTTGGCCTCGCGACGAATGAAGTCGCGGATCTGACGGCGGAGGTAGCGGAGGATCGGATGGGCCTTGAGGAGGCGGGGGCGGTATTTTTCGACGATGTCGGCGCGGGCGATGGCGAAGTAGGCGACGCTGCGGCACTCGGCGAGATCGAGAGAGACTTTCTTTGAGGGATCGTCGAAGGAGCGTCCCCACATGGTTCCAGTGGCGAAGCGGAGGGCGAGGTCGGAGACGCTGGGGGGACGGGCGACCTCGGTCGGCTTCTGGATGTGTTTCGCGAGGTTGGTGATGAGGGGGGTGAGGCTGGAGTCCTTGTTCTTCTTGGGGACCTGGCTGAAGATGATGTTGCGATCGAGGACGAGGGCGTCCTCGGCGGTGACGAGGGCCTTGGAGCGGAGGGAGAGGAGGAACCAGAAGAACTGGAGAAAAAAGCGAATAACAGTCAGATAGGACAACACGTATATAGTACGAGCGAGAAACGAGAAGACAGACGAACCTTTGGAACGATATCCTTGTTGAAGTCTACGGTGAGACGGAGGCGAAGGGCCATGGTCGCGTCTCGCCAGTTGTTTTCGCCCTTCTTGAGCGCGACCCAGAGGTTTTCGATGATGAGAGG